TATATATATATATATATATATATATATATATCCCTTCTTTTGATTTGGCTCCTCAATTCAGGGAGGAGAGACGCAGGATGCTCCCTGCGGTCTGCCAGCCGAAATGGGCGCGCTTTGTCTGTTCAGTAATCGAAGACTCTCGAGCTATTCCCCAAGCTCATGCCTTGATGATTCTTACAGGGTTTCTCGCCCGCCCCAACTCGCCTGGACGCCTTATCGCGGCTTACGGCCGCTCAGGGAACCTCGCCGCTGCCCGAGTGGTGTTTGACGCATTGCCCCAACCGACTATCTCCTCTTGGAACGCCCTCATCATTGCCCATTTGAGAAACGAATCCCCCTTCGATGTCCTCCATCTCTACCGCCGCATGATTTCCGAAGGATGCATACGGCCCGATAGCTCCACCTTCACCATCGCCCTCAAAGCTTGCACCCAGTTGTCGGATCTCGATGCCGGAGAACAGATTCGATCCCATGCATACGACCTTGGTTTTCAAAACGATGTCTTTGTCAGCTCGTCGTTGCTCAACTTGTATGCTAAATGTGGGAAGCTGATTGAAGCGGTGGAGGTGTTCGAGAGAATGCCGAGAAGAGACCTTGTGTCCTGGACCACGATGATCACTGCGTTTTCTAATTCTGGTAAGTCAATAGAGGCCATTGATTATTATAGAAAGATGCGAGTTGAGGGTGTCGAAGGGGATGAGATTGTGATGGTTGGTTTGTTGCAGGCATGTGCGGCAATGGAGGATGTGAGGGCTGGAGCTTCAATTCATGGGCATATGATCCGTCTTGATATGAGAATGGATGTAGTTGTTGAGACTAGCCTCATTGACATGTATGCGAAGAGTGGGTACCTGGGTCTTGCCAATGTTGTCTTTGAGAGGATGCGGAATAAGAATGTTGTATCATGGAGTTCTTTGATCTCTGCTTATGCTCAGAATGGGTTTGCTAACGAAGCACTCTTGATGCTGGTAAGGATGCAGGATTTCGGGTTTGTACCAGATTCTGTTGCACTGGTAAGTGCATTATTGGCTTGTTCACAAATTGGATATTTGAAATTGGGCAAATCTTTACATGGCTTTGTTGTTCGGAGAAAGCTCAAAGTTGGTGTGATATTGGGCACTGCGGTGATTGACATGTACTCAAAATGTGGGAGCCTATTGAGTGCCCGTGCCATTTTTGATAGGCTGAGTTCAAGAGACTTGATTGCTTGGAATGCAATGATTGCTTGTTATGGCATTCATGGTAATGGTAAGGAAGCTCTTTCACTCTTTCTTGAAATGAAAGAAACAGAATTGAAGCCTGATGATGCCACCTTTGCTTCTCTTATGTCTGCATTTAGCCACTCTGGACTTGTGAGCGAGGGGCGTCGGTGGTTCAATTGCATGAAGATTGAATTTGGACTTGAACCCTGGGAGAAGCACTATGCATGCATGGTGGATCTATTAGCTCGTGCTGGCCATGTTGAGGAAGCTTTTGATCTGATCCAGACAATGAAAATCAAGCCAGGAATTGCAATATGGGTTGCTCTTCTTTCAGGTTGCCATATCCATAAGAAGCTGGAACTAGGTGAATATGTTGCAGAGAAAATACTCAAGTTGAATCCACATGATTTGGGTGTTTATTTATTGGTTTCTAACATGTATGCTTCAGCAAGGAACTGGAACAAAGTACAGGAAATAAGAAGGATGATGAAGATGATGGGGATGAAGAAAACCCCGGGGTATAGTTTGGTAGAATTGGATGGGAAGTTTCATGCATTCCTAGCAGAGGATAACAGCCATCCAGAATATCTACAGATCATGGCTATGCTAGAGAGATTAGAGTGTGAAATGAGGAAAATAGGTTATATTCCAAAGATAGAGTTGGTTCTCCATGACCTCCAAGACGATGTTAAGGAGAGAATGCTCCTCTGCCATAGTGAGAGGTTGGCTATTGCATTTGGATTGCTGAAAACTGGCGCAGGGATGCGGATTCTAGTCATAAAGAACTTGAGGGTTTGCGAGGACTGCCATGACGCCATTAAGCTGATATCAAGGATTACAAACAGAGAGATTGTGGTGAGGGATGCAAAAAGGTTTCACCATTTCAATGATGGGGCTTGTTCGTGCGGAGATTATTGGTGAACTCAAATGATTTTCATTAATAAAAACCATTGAAACTTATGGAAGTCTATTGGATTCAGACTTACGACCATTCAAAAGCCAACCTTGCAACCATTTCTCTAGTAAGATCTATATACTACTGGATTAAATGAGGGAAAAGGAAGGTTCTTACACGATTCTACAAATAAACATAACTTATTTTCCTTATGAGACAGGGGTGTCAAAAATTGACACGACCTAAAACCCGACCCGGCCCCGACCCGAAAAAATTCGGGTTCGGGTCAACCCGTTTGTTAAATGGGTATGGTCTGGGTTTGAATTTCTGACCCGTTTGAAAAAAGGGTCTGGTTTGGGTTGATCCGACAACCTACAGGTCGACCCGTTTAACCCGGATCCCACATTTTTTAGGCATCCGCCTCATTTGACCCCGCCGTCCGTCGTCCGTCGTCCGACAACTCCACCTCACTCGACTCTGCCGTCCGCCGACTGCCGACTCCGCCAAATAGGTTCAGACTGACAGATGGTCCTTTTTTTTCTGAGAGATCTGGTCTTTTTTTTTTTTCTGATGATGTAGGCTTTCAAAGCAACATGGTCCTCACCGAATGCTCAATGCTTGAGTTCATTTGTCCTTCAGTGTGTTTGATCCCGAAAGCTTATTTGATTCAAGATAACTGTTTCATCCATGATAAACTTGGGAAACATGAAAGTTATCAGGTAGTTTAAATGTTTTTTTTTTTTTTTGGTTTTGATTATACATTGATTTAGCATACATATTAAATTGTATCTATGGAAGTTTGTGAAGTTTTTGTGATTCTTATTATTTTAATAGCTTTACTTTGAACTTGTGATACATTAAAAACAATCACCCCATTTCATGCTTTAAGGTATTTTTTCACACGAAATATTGGCCAGTTGGCATCCAGCTGAAGAACAATGATAAACAATTTAACATTGTGGTTTCTTTTACGTTACCAGTAACCTAAGCTTCGTTTTCGATTCTCACTGGCTTTCAAGTATATCTGTTAGCTGTATAATTCTGTTCTTAATTGATGAATGCCATTTGAGGTGTATATTTACTGCTCCGAGGTTTCAATAATTCTATTATTTACTAGATGTTGCTAATTAAACCACATGTTTAACTTCTTTTTTTATGCATTTTGTTTCAGCCAAAGAAGAAATTCTCTGCATTTTCGTTGTGTATCAAAACAACTGGCCTTGCACTTGTCAAAGATTTCAGTTATGAGAATACAGATTGTTAGTGCAGTTTGCTCATCCCTTTGGAAGTTGATGATGTTTGATGTTTTATGAACTTCTGAGATAAGCTCAGCTCATGGTTGGTCCACTCAGAAGCCTTGCTTACTCCAGAATTCAGAAATAATTCAAAACCATGGAAAAGAAGAGAAGTTGTGATTTTCAATTATAAGAAACGGTACATTTCCTGCTTAAAAATAATATACACTCGCTGCATATAATGTTCTGTGGAATAAAACTAATATTTATTAGCATGACTTGTAGAAAATGTCCATATTGTGTCATACTCAAGGTTGTGAAAACCAGACAACGAACCGGAAGAATGAGAGGTTCACAGTTCAGCCGGTCGAACTGTGATCGAACCGGATGACGTAATAAATAATAATATTATTAAAATAAAATAAAATAAACTTAATAATATAACAATCTAACATTAAACACAAATCCATCCTGTCATATATATCAAGTATCCAAATTAAAAATGAGTTGGAGGTTTAAAATCACACTTTATGTTATATATATTTAGATATGATATTATATAATCATTAATATAATATAAATATATTAGCATTAAATTTATTTATATAATTTTAAAAATATATAATAAAAATCTATAAATATAAATATCATTTATACCCGCTTCGTCGCAAGCATTGGGACGCACTTCCTCCCACCACGCTAAGAAAAGCGTGTATAGGTGGTCGTTTTATTCCGACGCATGCATTGAAACGAGTTCTCGGAGTTTTAGGGTTTAGGAGGTATTATACCTGCGCAGGGTCGACGGAGGGCATGAAAATCGAGACAAGAGATACCTTTTTGTATTTCTCTTCTTTTCCTTTATTTGTCTCTCTCTCTCTCTTTTTTATGCACAAATCTTTCTCTTTTTTTTTTTTTTGAAATATCTTTTCATTTTGCTTTTCTTCCTTTTTTTTTTACAAAGACATACTCTCACACACACATATACATATAGTCAATAATAATACCATTAACTATATTAAAATTGCAACAAAAATTAGCATAAGTGAATGGATAGAACAACACTTATTGTTTGCATTAAACCAGATGAAATTAGGCTGAAGGGATATTGGAGTCTAGGTGGGTTTTTGTTTTGGTTTAAGTGGGCTACGGTTTGGACTTGTTGGGCCTTGGACCTAAAAGTGGGCTTTTATATTTGTGATAGCTAAGGAATTAGCTGGATGCAATTTTATAAGAAAGGGAGAGAGGCACCTATTAGGCCTGCTGCTTGAGGATATCGGGTAGAGGAAGACAGCGGCTAAAATGGGAGGAGGAAGTCGATCTTGGCATCGGCTTGAGGGAGGAATAAGTTGGAGGCAGCTAAGAGGTAAGGTAAATCCCTTCCTCTCTCTCTCTCTCTCTCTCTCTCTCTGGATTGAAGAGGTCGGGAGGCTAAGGGACGGAGCTCGGTCGGCTCCCTGGATGGGATCGGACGGAAATAGTGAACAGGGGTTCGGCTGAAGTCGAGCAGGAGGTCGTAGATGGAAGAGGTGGAGAGGCAGTGGAACTCGACTTTTGTTCGGCTATGTGGATCGGTCGGGAGAGAGCAGGAGGTCAGGAGTTAGAGTTTCGGCTGTGGTTTGGAGTCGAGAGCGAGGTTGGGGTAGGGTCGGAGAGAGGAATCGGGAAGAGGAAGTCGGGACCTGCGATTGGATGGGGATCGAGCAGAGCTTCGAGTTCGGAGAAGTGTCGGGTTGGAAGAGAGTTGTGGGAGCGTATGGGAGGAGTTTGGTCGATATTTAACGACGCATTTGGGCTCTCGATCGAGGCGAGTCGCAGGTTTCAAGCAGAAATCCCGGGACGAGATGCGAGTCCAGCGGCTTCAGCGGGATTTCGGGCGGGATTCGCGAACTTGGACGGCTTCTCGACGGATACGAGGATTCCAACCGGGATTTCAGCATAAATTTTGGATCCGACAGTCAAGGTATGATTTCATTTTCGTTTCTTTTGGGTATTGTACAGAGGTCAACAAAGGTAGTCATCTTTAACTATTTTTATTGTGTGAAGTACACACTTTTTACTAAATAAAATATTTGAGATCCGTGCGATAACATATATATATTATGATGTAATTAATCATCATATTTAATAAAAATATTTAAAAAAAGTTAAAAGAATTTAATAAACTAAAAGGTATTGTTTAAAATTTAATTAAAATAAAATAAATGTTTTATAGAACCAGTCGATCTATCCAACTCGGACCAGTTCAATGGTTTACTGGTTAAAACGCCAGTTTTTGCCGATTCAATCCGGTTTGATATGAAGCCGATTTTTAAGCTGGATCGGACCAGCCACTTGACCGGTTCACGGTTGAACCAGCCGGGTTGGTCCGGTTTTTAAAACTATGGTCATACTATCCTTTTGATCATATATTAATAATATACAAGTCTTCAATTGTAGAAGATCTCTTTGGCAAAAGCTTTGTTTACTCTGAAATATACCACCTCAATTGTATGCAGCACTACTTTTACCCGCTATGAATGATCACCATTTCTACTAATTAATATGGCCTGCCATTAACAGTTGAAGTATATGATTATGATACAAAACTGACCAGGATTCTACAATTTCTAAAACATTAATACACAGACACAGGCATGCTAATTTAGTTCAACATCTTTCATAAATATATATATGAAATCTGCTAGCTTCTTTGGTCGGTATGAAGTTCATTCCATTTTTGTGCTGAAAATCTGCAGCCAACTTTCTATTATTTCAATGTGGCATACATTAGTTGTGAAAATCTGCATTCAACTTCCTATCATTTCAATGTGGAATAAAGAAGCTGTGCATGCCTATAGCTATCATCTTTTAGCGGTCAGGTTAAGTGGCAAAGCGAGTCAAAGAAAACACAATAGTCTCAACAGTACCACTCGTCATACCATGATATGATGAACGTACTTAAAACTTTTTATTATGATAGTTCTTTTCGCTGATGAACTAGACTTTGTGATTGGTTATGAGTTATGGTACTTTAGTTTGCTATTTTTCTTGAGGTTGTGTTATTATAAGAATTAAACTAGAGCCTGTCTAATCGAGTACGTGGACCTGTGAATGTGGTTCAAAAAGAGAATGTTTACTATTGATTTTGTGGAAGATCCTCCTCCATTTCATTTGTTGTTATCTTAGGAGATATCTTATGCCAGATGATTATATTTCAGTAGCACATAACATTGATTAAATTTGTAATTTCATTATCACCAGCATCATCTAAGTCACTATTGATCCACATTGCACTGATTATATAGGCATGCAAAATTTGGAGTTGCCTAACACCCCACATCCAAGACTTCAAATCTGTGTTCTTTGGACTTATTCATCTTATTGTTACTTACACGTGGTTGCTTCATATCTTAAATGAACCACTGGTAATCTGGTATCACTTCCTCCACCTTGATCGGCTCCCATAAATTCTTCAGGAGAAGCTTTTTTGGAACCATATTTAATCATACCCGAATTTTAATATTTTTTATTTGATTTGTTTTATTAAATATAATCATCCTCTTTAGATAACAATAAGTTTGAATTAGGATTTGATTTGATCATATTGAAATTTAAAATATGGCCTTCTTGTAACCCTTTTTCTAATAGCAAGGATTGAAGGCTTGTATTATACATAGACGAATAAAATTATTTTGTGAGGCTAATCGAGTGTTTACCTTATGTATGTGGAGTTTCTTATGCTTCCCTTCTATCTCAATGGATTTCACCCGTCACCTTCATTGTGTAAACTTGTAATAGTCAATGCCATCATTTGGTTCCAAAGCAATAAAAAATGTAAAGTTTATTGCATACATGTCACCTTCATTGTGTAACATTATAGATGACAGCGCACATCATTAGGTTCCAAAGTAATAAAAAATGTAAAGTTTATTGACATCCATATTTAAAATTTAAGGGCATGAAGATTAGGGGAGGATGTGATAGGAAGTGCTTGTAGAAATTAGGAAAAGTCTTGGCTGAAATCTGATTTCAACAATTTCAGATAACCAACAACAAGGAAATTAGGAATAGAACTCACAAGAACACTTTTTAATTGAAAGTTTTGTGGAAAAAATATAAGATATAAGTGGATCTTCAATTGGAGAGGAAGGTCCGGCTCTCCCAAATCTCTAGACGCCGCTAGAGCCCAAAACCTATGAGAGATTTCAAATTTCAGCCAAATTCAAGATGTCATAACCCTAGCAAAACATACTACTTAATATATAAAATTCAAAAGGAAATCTCTAAACAGCCCCTACTTTGAAATTTTCCTCCTAACTCCACCAAAAATCCTTCCTAAACATCTTTGTTGGCACCTGCGGTTCGTGCGACAGGGATGGAAGGCGGGCTCTGTTCTGCCTCGCATAGAAGCGGACCGGTTCATTGTGGACCAACTGGACCAGTCTAACAAAGTGTTCTTTCTCCTACATGGATAAAAATCCAGGTTCAAACATACTCAATAGTTTACTGGTAAGAGTTGGTAGAAGCTTAGAAGAATCACCACTTCTATGTCTTACATAGAGGGGAAACAGGTTTGCTATGCTAGCCAATTACATCTGAATAAGCTTCGTTGGTCTTGTTTTTAGAACTTGCTTCAAATCAGCACGTCAACGTGAAGCATGGGTTTCCATATCCGCAAACATCCACGAGTGATAGACAATTGTGATACGCCTTAGGTTACACAAATTAGGGTTTGCCCTAATTTTCCTTCAAGGATGAAGTTTCTCCACCAAATCAAAGTTAACTCAAAACAAGAAGAATGAGAGGAAGAACAAAAGAGCTTTGCATTAATCTTCAAGACAAAACAAAAGACAAAGCTAGTCCACTTCGAGAAGGACCAAATCTCCCAAAAGAAACCCTAGAGAAAACAAGAAGGAAAAGAGAAAGAACTTTCTTCACATGATGCCCCAAAATAAACCCTAATGTCTCCTTTCATACAATCTCACAACTTCCCCCTCATCCCTAAATTTCCCCCATCATCCACCCTCCATTTTTCCCCCAAAACTTGGCCTCCCCCCTTGATGCCCAAGGATTTAAGTAAGTGGGCCCCAAGGGCCCACCGTGACCCTCTCCCTTTTTTCCCCAGGTTCGGCCGCCGCCCCCTTTGGCTCACCCGGACCGGATGCCCCCCCTCCATCGCCTCCTGTAGACCCGCAAGGGTCTCGGATGGACCGGCTCAGCCGGTCCATCAAATTGCGTAGAAAGTGGAAAGAAAATGAAAGTGGA